CTGCAGGAGTATTGATAAAAACTACAAGTCCCTGCAACACACCTATTTTTCCGATACAAAAGCCACATTCAGATGATTACAGACTAGTGCATGATCTAAGAGCTATTAACTCCATTGTTGATGCAGAAAAACCCCTTGTCCCTGACCCACATACTTTGCTCTCAAATACACAGTGATGGACTTGTGTTCAGCTTTTTCAGGGTGGTGCCGAAGTACATCCAGATATACAGAATCTCTTTTGTTTTACTTACGAGGGCAGCAGTATCGTATACGGATACGTGGAGAGTCCTACACTCTTCAATAGAGTGCTAGCTAATGACTTGCAGCATCTGGATGTGCAGAGTACAGTCATACAATATGTGGATGATCTTTTGATATGCAGTCCTACAAAAGACCAGTGTGAGAAAGATTCAGTCTCAGTATTGACCGCACTGGCAGAGGGGGGACACAAAGTAAGCAGGAGCAAACTACAGTTCTGCCAATCTGAGGTAGAATACTTGGGCCGAAGATTAAGTGGAAATAAAAGAGCTATTGCACCCTCTCAGATCGAGGCCATAACAAAGGCCCCAAAACCACAAACAGTTGGCCAGATGTTGACATTCTTGGGCATGGCCGGTTACAGCCGACCCTGGATTTGTGATTATGCAATTAAAACAGCCCCATTGCGTGCACTAATTAGAGCAGCAGGTCAAGGTAGTAGCTCAACATTACACAGAAATAATGCTACTAAAACCTCTCCAGAGAGTCCAGTCTAAAAGGGAGACTTCACTGGAAAACTAAAGGAAAATATAATCAGTTTGATATTGTGTGCTGAACTGGAAACACGCTGTCAAGTCAAGGGAGCCTGTACATTTACATATTCCATAAACATACATGGATTGTTTACTGTGAATCCCTGCTGCATAGGAAGCCAGTCTGAATCTAACAAAAGAATGGCGGACTCCGCCACTAACAATGAAAAATGTTATAAAGAGAGGCTAAAATGGGGTTTGATTTGATGAAAATCAGGATTATAACTTTAAGGTTGGTACCTGATTTTTTAATTGATTGAACTCCAGGTGAGATGAGAGACATGTTACTTTCTCTTCTGGCAGAATCTCTCTAGTTAATTTTCCTCTTGAAGGTTATTAGTGTCCTGTTTTACTGTAATCTTAGTGCCAAAAAACAATATTGTCAAATCCAACCTGACAAAATACCAAATACAATCTATTAAAATCTTGATTTTAAAAGAATACAGAAAGCAACAGAAGAAAGAATTTTAAGAGGCCGAGGTTTCCAGCAATCTGACTGATATATTTTTACTGCTGTCATCTGTGGTTTATAAGTGTTAGGCAAGGTTGTATAAATCAAGAAATGCACTTTTTTATCTGACTGTAAATCAAAAAAGCCTCTGGTTTAGCAAAACATTCATAAACATAAATTCACAAACATAAGCTTAGATTGAAAAGAATTGTTAAAAGTGTTTGTTTTCTATGTACTTACTTTGTTCATGTAATGAAGAAGAGCAAACAGTTGTTTGAACATAAATTTAATCAGGGTACTTTTGCTGAGGAGTTTCAGCTTCCAGAAACAAAAGTGTGCAGGTAAGAGCTGACAAACAGAGGTTGATGCCATATGCTTTGGAAGAAAATAAAAAGCAGTGCTTGGTTTAGTTCGCCTTATGGCTGGTGAGGACTGTGGTTCAAAGAACCAATGAAGTGCGTACATTAAATCAAGCCTTTCCCCAAAGGAATTCATTTCAAAGCATCAGTGTGTATTTCTCACTGGTCTGAGTAACACTGGAGAGGAAATGCAGATACAGTAGACAGCACGGACACAGAGCATAACTGTACAGTTTGAGGTCTCAATGTCAGTTCATACGTTTTTATTTCATTGAGAACCCCTCTTTGTGAGTATTAACAGTATTTTATTCAACAGTATCTGATAAGTTACACTGTTATTAAGTCCCTTGAGGCTCAGGTAGTCACACAAGAAATTCAAGTCCCAAAATATGCGAATCATAGTGTTGCCTTGTCTTTGGGTTGCACACCAGTGTATCCTTTCCAGTAGTGACAGTCCATTCAGTAACTCAACAGTAAGATAAATCTTGCAGAATCAATATTAAGTCCACATTTGGCTTATTTTTGTATCCAAACCATCATACAGTATCATGTTCAAATATTTAACACGGAGTCTTCTGGGAGTCTCATTCCCACCAGTTTAGTCACTGCCTCTGGTGCTTGGTGGATATTTTGGCCTTCAGCAACGATACAGTGCTCTGACAAGAATCTCAGAGGTTAACTGCCCAGATCCATGAGCTTTAAAGAATGCACCAAGATTTGGTCGGTTGTCCAGCTGGTCAAGTTACCCAATAAGTGATGACATCAAACAATCAAACTTAATGTTCTGTGTCTTGAAGTAAAAATGTTATAATTATACGCCTATTCGCTTTCTTGTGGAGAGTTAAATTAGAAGGTTGATACCACTCTCATGTATGTAAGCTAAATAAGTAGCTAGTAAGCTTAGCTTAAACATGGGAAACAAGGGGAAACAGCTAGTAGGCTATGGCTCTATCCAAAGGCACAACCACCTACCAGCAACTATAATGCTCATAGATTTACAAGTTTAATCCGTAGAAAAAACAAAGTCCAAAATTATTTCTTAGTTAGGTGCAGTTCCTGGAGTGACTGCTAGTTTCCTGGCATTCTTGTGGTGACTCCAGGAAATACTGCACCTGACTACTGCTCCAGAACTTGTTTTTGCACTTTTGTTTTGGTACGGATTAAAAAAACATGATATAATGTGTTAATTAGTGAGCTTTAGAGGAACTGTTTCCCCCTGTTTACAGTCTTTATGCTAAGCTAAGCTAACCAGCTGCTGGTTCCAGCTACATATTTACTGTGCAAGAAAGCAAATAAGAATATTTCATATATATTTCATATTCATATTTCATATTAAATTGTGCTTAAAATACCTGTTGAACAGATGAACATGTTGAATGATAGTAGATCAATGTCAGAAATGTTCAAAGTGACACCTAATATATTAAAATATTAAATATCAAATACAACTTTGTACTACCAGGCACTACCTTCCTCATTTCCACAGTAAGTTTAGGTCATTTGCCGCACTACTTATGGGGTAATTTAACCAACTGAAGCAATCTCCCAAAACGTCTGTGCACACCTTTGTATAATATTGTTTTGGTGGAGATGTTGGGATCTTGAACTCAGTCCTTTTCCATCTTCCTCTCCTCCTAAGCTAGGATATCACTCCTCTTGCTGCACCAGACCACCAGGGCGATCATGGCCAATGTGAGGAAAACAGGGATGAGGATAAGGATGGTTAGCGTATCGTCCGGCGGGTCCACCCATACCACCTGCTCAATGGTGCAGTTAGAGAAAAAGTGCTTGTGTATGCGGATGATGTAGCTCTCCACCAGTGGATTGGGCCAGTAGCAGTGCACGATGTGGGACTTTGCCTCTGTGCAGAGTGTGAAGATGTGGTATTCACTGAGGAGAAAATGGGAGGAAGAGAAGGGAAAGATTAGAAGAAAATCACTACTGACTTACTGTAAGTTCTCCATGTATGTGTAGATTTCTGACTTTTGATCAAATTGTCTTTTACATCTGTTTTACTTTCATTTTACTTTCCAAAAAAAGGGCACAGTTCAAGGTATGAAATTACTGAAATGCGAATCAAAGTGGCGGTGGACATACCATCTATTAAGACTCAAAATGACCTTACGTATAATACGGCAGGTTCTCTGAAGGGCACACAATCATTTAATACCCTTCTACGGTTTAGCTAAACATTAGAGGTTTGGAAAGTAATCCATCATTGTGACTGGGGATATACCGCCTTTAACTCCCTTTTTTGGCCCAATACTCTCCTCTATTTCAACAGGCATTCAGGGCTGTTCAGAGCCTTCATGGAGCTTTCCAGGCTTAGAGCTCTGCTTTGATGAATCCATTCAGCAAGCCCTAATCCTTCCATCCTGAATACTCAATCCTCCAGGTCCAGATTTTTTCTCATGACATTCAGGAGCTATTGGTTTTCTCAGCAGCGGAACAGTTTTATTGTCTCAATGTATGCCGAACCCAACTCCATATAAGCCAGTTTATAATAACATTAATATAATATAATACTATTATACCATATAATGTTATGTATTATATATAATATACCTTATTTTTCCAACCTGTCCCTGATCAGTTCTGATGAGACAGTAGTAATTGAGTTTAAAATTGTATTGCATAATGGCAAAAAAAAAAGATCCATTTAAATTAATCCTTTCAGAAAGATTACTAGCCTAGCTTAAATGCATTTTAGATTGGTCCAAAAACAAAAAAATAACATATTTATTTTAATATTAATTCTTTCTTTTCCATATGCTATATAATAATAAACTAATAATGAAATAATAACAACAACAAAAATAACAATAATAAACTTTTATTTTAGCATATTATTAAACTAATTGATATTAGTCCATCTTAGGATTCATTTTAAAATT